GAAGTTGGCACCGATGTCATGGACTGCATTTAAACAAGAATTTAATCGAAAGAAAATAAGTAGTTGGTACGTCACCGTAATGACAAGTTCGAAACCATGACGTCAACGGTCATGTGATCCACACATTAACAGTAATATATTTCAGAGATATATGTATAAGGGGTGTGCCATTATAGTGTGAGGGGTGGTAAGGATATGTTTATCTGGTATAAGCTATACACGAACTCGTATTTTTATCCTTGCCACTCCATCCAAATCAATGGTTTAACCCTAAACTGAAACCATCATCATCAAAAAACGTCTACATGTTAAAGGAAGGTGGTCGTCTCGCCGCGTCCTGTTCGACATGGGGCGCATAGCGACGTACACAATGCATGTACGCACTGCGAACACGCAATGCACGACGACCACCGCCCTTTAATTAAATAGGATGGCTTTTGATGCGGCTCCACCGACGTTTCCGAAACAAAAAATAACAGGTCTAATAACATAAAAACACACACAGGCATGCAACATATATTATGCATAAGCTGGACTACAGCACAGAGCAACAATAACTTGCATTTGTCACAAAAATATAAAAAAATAAAAAAGTAAGACAACAACTTCAAACTTTGTTTTGAATATAGTACATCTCATTTCGCTTAAACACTGAAAGAAATTTGCAGTTGTACTGCCAGATATAGAGTGAGTTAACGTCAAAAGCGGTGTTAAGAAATCATATTTACATGTTTTTTGTCAACACTGTTTGTTAAAATATGCAGTTTAGAAGTTTGTACTTAAATAACGTAAATTTTACAATATATCATCAACGTAACTCTTTCACTTAATTTTTGTAATATAATATAATATAATATAATATGTTAATTTATCACGTGTAATTATAATAATCATACGGCATTTCACTTAATACATTTCATTTACTGAGTCTGGAGTTATATCTTTTCGCACCATTTGTCAATTTTTATAAACACTAAAAATACATTTTGTAAACGCCAAAATCGAATCATCAACTCTGCCAATCAACATTGTCGCTTAGAAGCGGATGCTCACATCCTTGTCGAAAGTCAACATTGGGCAATACTTAGGGTTGGGATTGGTCAGCAGTACGTTAAACTTATTCAAATAAATTACAAAAAAATGTGTCTTTCTCGCTCACCACTGAAGTCACATGGGAAAATACCCGGATGTGAAAAACCTCCAGCCGGTCAAGTAACTTTTAAAAGGTTCCCAATTTGAAAAAAAAAATACCACACAATTTCTATTTTGTCTTAACACAAAAATCATGCGCCAGACAAGTTGCTACGTCTGACAATAAGTGGTATGTCAAACGCGGGTACTCGGGTCCCAACGGTGGGTAAACGAGTACACACATTTTCGAAAGAGATAATGTTCAGTTCATTTATATATGTAAGCCGCAGACAATATATATGAAATAACAATTGCAATGCTGTTACTTTGTCCAAAAACACACACACACACATTTCGAATAGCAATATACGTAGAGGGGGATTCCTCTCGGTGTATACGTCCCTGTCTGCTACGTCATAATTATTAAATTATCACCGCAGACCTTGTAGAAGGGCGTCGAAATTCGTCAACTTATGTATATCGGTTTACAACACTGAATGATAATTCAACATGACCAATACGATCATTTTCAGTTCATAAGCATATGCTGACTACTCTGTCTGTCAATGTTTTATGTCATTATAAAATTAATTTATGCGGCTGTTAGTTAATGGCAGTGAATTCTGTTCATTTGGGGAAAAAATGTTCATTTGTCTACGTCTACGTCAAACTGGGTAGACTAACACCGCTTCTGTGGTTGTTAGGCAACGTTTTAAGGCAGATTGATTGTTTTACTGGATAAATTAGCCATTAATCCTCCGAAACTCGTTCCGATCATATATCTCATGTTACGCAAATTTTTATTTTTGAAATTTGTTTTCGATCTAGCCTCATAAATAACGACCCTTCTTGGTAACCTTATTCAAACTTATTAAATGGTATTTTGGCGGCCATTGCTCAGTAATGCCGCAAATATCAACATAGTACAACAATCTAAGAATACTTCTATACTGGAATCTACACTAGAACCGCAGACGATATTTACATTAAAACGGCAGACGACATATATGCTGAACCTACAGGCGACATTTACACTGAAACGGCAGACGACATCTACACTGAAACCACACACGACAAGAAGCCGACAGTTAGACAAATACAGATCACCAATAATATTACATCATAAATATTCGCACCAATGCGAATAGAAAAAAAAACAACGGATCACTTCTATTAAATTGACTATTTGTGTATAAAAAATAGTCATTCTGCATACATGCTGCGCTTTATTTACAGAGCTAAACATTTCTGTTACCCATGATGCCAAGCAGCGTGCAATTATTTTTTCTCGCACGTGGGATATCAGTTTCTCATATGACACAAATCAAAACAACTGATTTTTAATCTTATTCCGGATGCACCTTGAGTATTTTCTACCAATTGTAAACGCGTCATTTTTATATAGTTATATATTCACACGTCAAGCAGCATAGAATCTTTGGGTTCTCAACAACAACAAAATTGTCCTTCGACATTCATCGAAGCAAAATAGTTCATAAATAATTATCATAAATTACGTAGCAAAAACCGGTAGGTATCCCTGAGTCAATGAGGTTAGCTTATACTCTACACGTGACCTAGCCCACACGTGACCTAGCCACCTTCTCGACCTGAACTTATTTTTTATTTTAATTTATCGTTTCTTGCTAGATACTGTTCATTATGGTCACGTGATCGACAATGTTTTTTTTTTAGTTAGTAGACGTTCTTCCATAGTTGCTCTTAATACAGCACTCCCAACTGGCACACCGACATACCGTTTTTGAAGAATAAGAAAAACTCTACCCTTTCCTTCGAGAGTTATCGACTTTTACGCTTCCAATCAATCGTTCCCGCGACCGGGGACATTCCATGACTATGCAAGTTGTGCGAAACAAAAGAGTTTGACAAAAGAAGATAAATCGTCTCATTATATGACGGCGGCGGTATTAGGGTATAATCACGGTTGTACCTGCCTACTAAGCTCGATACAGTATGTAAATAAAGATCAGGACAGCCATACATCGGTCAACTCAGACGACAGAACCTTGCATGCTGAGTTCACCCACGTTGCATACATCTCGCCAATTGTTATGGAACTTGCCGACAGGAACGACAGAGTGGGGAACATTACCGCTACTAGTTAGAAACGGATTCCAAGTGCTTTCGAAGACGTCCAATCCTTTGACGAAAAATACACTTGACGATGATAGCGAGGGATATGCAACGTCGATAGAAGGTGGCAACGAATACCGATAGGCGTTCAGGATCCGACCTGTCTTCGGAGCAGGCTTACAACATCCCCATCTAGCGACATCGAAGGCATACACCTGGAAAAAAAATAATATAATAATATACTCGAAGCCAAGATGAATTCTTGTTATTACATCATGGTTTACAAGCGACGGATCATTGTTTGTTTGTTTAAAAAAAACAATACAAGTGGTTAAATGTAGTGTAAATAAGGCTACATTCTGTGAAACCACGACATTCCCGGTAAGGCTGATACAAGGTGCAATTGCTTACCATTTGTGCCTTGAAAAAGTAGATCGCATTGTCAGAAAAATCGAAATAAGCGGCATCAACATTATTTGGTATACTGTGAGAAGAACCCGGGAGGGAAGGAAATCCATCAGATATCCGTCGCGTGGTTACGGTAGAGCCTGTGTAGTTGGTATATGTCGTACCTACAAGAAAGCATACGTCTTCACATTATACAATGCGATCTCCAAAAAACAAATAACGTAATTATATAACGATGTAAACACATTATCGATATTCATATACATGTATGTTTGTTTATATTTGCTTCTCGTTAATTAAAGTAAAAAATCAGTTTCCCATGATGCAATGCGATCATGTATGATGTAATTACACGACGACGTACATACATTGTCCACATAGAATTTTACATGTATGTTTGTATTTGCTCACCGTGAAAGAAGTACGTCTGATTAGTGGTACCAGTTATGAATAGTTGAACGGCTGCATCTAGGTTATTGACGTCATCTAGTATGCCAGCCCAGTCCGAGTTAGAATTGGGTTTGGGGTATCCATAACTGGGACGATCGCCTGAGTTAAAGTATACCCAATGGTGTCTGTCTTGAAAGAGGTAAGTAGTGAAGACGACCTGTCCGCGACTACCAATATGAATGAAGTCGAAGGCCGTGTCAATCTGTACTTGACATTCTCCTGTAAAAATATAAGACATGGGGGATTAAATATTTGAATTTGAGTTGAATACTAGCCATGGTATTGTCATACAACGTGGCACTCAGCTACAAAGCTTAAAGCGGGGGTGTCGTTACCTGCGCATGCGTCAGATGGCCATGACCCATGAGCCTTCGCATTTTTAGCGTGTGTTGTTATCGTCGCTTGGGACTCAATTCCGGCGCGTGCGCAGGTGACGACCCTCCCGCTTTAAGCTTTCTGAACTAATTATTGCCAAGGAAGATGTAATCATGTACAAACTAGGATTTTCCTTGAAATATTAGTCCTTAAGTTGATTCTTCAAAAAATAAGCTTCTTATTATCCATCATATTGTTTGTTATCACTTCACTCCACGGTGTCGCTCAATTTCGCAAAGAAGCCACGTTTTTCCGACGATGTGTCATTTTCCTGCAAAACATAATGCTGTAAAGTTTTCTCGAATAATCCCCTAACTCACCATACAAATCTTGAATTGCGTCCCTATCTTCGCGAGATAGTTCCCCACTACTTGAGTCTGACATGGTCCATCCATGATAGACATGGTTCATAACAGATATTCTTTCGGACTCATCAACATGTGGTAAGCCAAGTACATGACCAATCTCGTGCACGGCAACGCTAAGTAAGTGTACTGGACCTCTCGGGCCGAATGGATGATACTGGTTCATATTAGCCATTTGTCCCAATTTCAAAAACGTAAACTCGCCGTTGAAGTGTATTTCTCCCGTAGAGCCCTGGGTAAGCGTCCAGGAATGCGATATGGCGTTGTCGTAGAAGTAGAATACCACCTGGCAAGTAGAGTGTGGAACTGAAATGAGACAAAACAAATACCACTGTAAGTTATGTCAGCAATGACTATGAACATATCATGACACACCATACTATCATTTACCAGCCTATCGTTCACAAATATTTATATTTACGTCAAATACGGATCGGTGATTATTATAGAATAGAATTAATTCGGGGATTAGCGTTCAAAGACAAACAGCAAAGGGAATGGAGTAAACATCCACACTTCCACCAACAATTCATCATCTGAACCGAAGTACGCTTTCTCTAATCATGCTATCAAAGAACAGTCAAATGACAACGTTTCTCGAGTAATATCACAACTACCTTAAAGACGTAAAATAATTACAATACTGAAACTTTTTTTTACTGAAATATCATTAATTAAAAATAGTTTTTTTTTATTTTGACTATGTTGACAATTGTATGTGCGTTCGTTAAATTCGGATAACAATCCATACAACTACTGAAATGGTTCCTATGGCATTGCGATGCACGGGTTGTTACCTGCAAGTAACACAGCATTGGAAAAACGGCAGTATTCGATGGTGTGATTTTAAAAGGTAACTACGTACAAGGGGGTGGACAAATGCTACGATTAAGACATCAAAGTAAGTGAGCTCACAGAGCAGGTTAGCAGTCTGAATGGTCACCATGAAAGGTGAATTCTTGTTTTTGTCCTCGTTCTGTTCGTGTTTCATGAGCTATTTACGTCTTTGCCTAGATATCTCAGATGGTATTTCTATCCGTGTGTAAACAACTTTAACGCATTTACAACAGAAAGCATTCCTGGTGAAAGTGAACTCGTGTTTTCGCTACCTTTAGTTATCTAGATGGACAATCAGAAGAAAATGCCCCAGAAGAAAATATTAGTATTGTTTTGTTTTGTTTTTAAGTTTTATTTTTTTAGAATACTATTTTTAACACAATCCCACATTTCAAAAAAAGTCGGTAGTATCGGGAAAGGTCAGTACATACATAAATCCCAGAAGTTTTTAAAAAGGTTAGTCAGCGACCTTTCGCAAGCATGATGATATACTTTGATATAAGAATGTCAGACGCCATCTTGTCTGACATTCGCATATCTCATCTAGGTCGACATGCCAGCGCAAACGTCTTCTCTACTGACATGCGTATACGCTGTCGAGGACGACATGCACAGACGTCATTTCTGTTGACATGCGCAGACGCCGTCTAGGACGACGGACACAGAAGTCATTTCCGTTGACATGCGCAGATGCCGTCTAGAACGACATTAACAGTCTTCATCTCGACTGACATGCGCAGACGCCGCCTAGGACGATACGCACAGACGTCATCAGGACGGATGTGCGTAAACGTCGTATAGGCTCGCACATGCGCAGGCGTCACATAGGCCGACGCATGCGCGGACAACTTGCGTGTTTAATTCTTTAAGTGATGAGATTCGCTAAATGTAAACTTTTAGCTGAATTTAATTTGTACATTTGTAAAAACGTAAAAACTTGCTTTACAACAATTGCAATTGCGTCCGGTCTATCGCGATTGTTTTCAACCAGTATTAATTGTGCCAGTGTTGTTACAGTGGAATCATATAACACGATGGCGATGTCCGAATAGTTGGCAACACCCATCCCCGATTATTATCAGTTATTTATTGTTGGCGGAAAGCAACTTATGAATTGATATTTGAATGGGTCCCATGCGACGCATACGATGTGTGTAAAATCCATTGTTTGTTTACACGAATTTTGTTCGCGCAAATATCGCCATTTAAACTCACACCATTATCTTAGATATTAAACTAAGTTAAGATTCTACAGACAAACATGGATCGCTGATATTAAGGCAAGTCAAGATTATACTGTCAGAGTGTCAATAATATTGGTCGATACACAGCGATAGTCATGACAAATTGGATACTTACTGCCGGCTCCGTTGAATGTAATTAGAATATCGACATCGTTGACATCTCCTTGACCAGACACGCTTTCTATGAAGTCTATAGGTAAAACTTCGTCAAATATGCGAAAAGCGGTATAGATTACTTCTCTGCGTTCTTGGAATGACAATCCTCTAGTAGGTTCATACCCGGCTTCATCCTGACCAAGTCGCCAAACAAGAACGGGCTTATTGATGAGGGAAATGGTGTGACGATCTTCATTGTTGGAGCTGCTGTCCGATGTACCTCGTTTTTCACGTCCAGCTGAGTGAAACCGTCTGACATACCGCTTCCGTCGGCTCGGTTTCTGGATGTCCATTTGATGGGAGTCATTACTACCTGGTGTTGGTGTCGTATCCGTGGTGTTCGCCGTGGTGGTGGTGGCCGTCGTCGACACTGTACTGACGTTGGCGGCGGTAGTGCCGTTGGTGAATGTTGTATTATATCCAATCGTCGTGTTTACATCAGTGATGTTGTATTCAGTGGAATTGGTCGTAAATTCATCATCTTCTATATATGTGCGGTTGCTTACCGATGTTGAGAATATCGACGTTCCGTTTAATGTGCTGTTATCACTTCCAAATTCTGACGTCAGTGTCGTCGTCGTCGTCGCCGTCGTATTCTCGTCGCCGTCGTCGCTGTGTTTTCCTAAAATTATCAGTTGTTCATTGTCGGGAACACCACATCGTGGTTTCCGCATCATTGTTGCAGTTCTTTCGTCTAATTTACCGGTAACTTTCAAGTTATTTCGTCGTTGAAATTCTATGAGTCCTTGCTCGAAGTACTTGTTTTCTTTAGGCAGTGAAAAATCATGTTTTTCTATCCTGTTGAGGGTGTCGTCAAATGATTCTTTCATGGGAACAGTGTTGGGAGCTACGGTATTCTTAAAAATAGTTTTTAATATTGAAGGCGAAATGCTCTCCACTTTCGATGGTCGCATGGCAGGCGAATCCCAGTCAATGTACTCCCATAGGCCGTTATCTTCGTTGTATTTCGGCATGTATCCATAAGACTGCATGTACATCTAATAAAGAAGAAAAAACACACAATTGTAATTCAGATTGCCATACTAATCAGGCCGACGAACAGTCAGAGCTCCGTATACGTAAGGCTTCCAGACTGTTCTTTTAGTGGTCTGATTTTTTATCACAATGGTACCCAAGAAATACAAGTAAAATGGGGTGGAGGTCGGGGATGATGGTGACAAAGCCGCGCCGCTAGCTAATATGCATCGTGGCAAACAGTCAAAGATGCGTTTGGTTTTAACCACTAAACATAGAGTTCATTAATAAGTATCAATTGGCTTTTCAAGGTACAATGCGTATGCTATAGGCGTGGTGGTGATTCAGTATTAGAACACGGGTCAGTGTTTTTTTCACAATACACGGAATAACATGATTCTCGTCGACTAATATTCTAAATAAAACACAGTAAACTGGAAACTAAGACCATCGATAACTAGTCTAATTTTAATGTAAGGTCGACCATACTGGGGATGTTTATGGTGACGATCTTATATACACGATTTTTACATGAAATATAAAACATACTTGAATTTAGAATAGAACTTATCATGGGGATAGTCGAGTATTTTCAGTTGAAACCATGGCAACAAGTGGTTTCCATGGAAACCAAACAAACAAATATTTGTGGCTACACAGTACACCTAAAGCAGTTAGTTTTACCCAGATTCCGGAATCACTACTTGTAAGTGTTCTGTGAGCGCGTATTCAACGCCTGTTCGAGGAATATTAGACGTATTTTCTAATGACGTTGTCTTTAAAGAACTAACTCGGGTTATCTATCTATCTATCACTTGTGTCATTCACGAACTATGCGGTTGAAACCAAATTCCGCGATAAAACTATGATAAAACCTAATGTTACTCTAATCATGGACCTACATGGTGCATAGGTCCATGCGCTCCAATACCGTTCAGTCGACGCCATGGGTACGAAATACGGAACAGCTGGTTTGGTTACAAAGGTCAATCTAACTGACTGTTTTATTTAACCGTTACCAGTCGGCCACAACAATCGAAGGTGATTATCTGCCATTTAACATCGCTATGACCCTCCTTTTCCAAACTGCCACATTCTGGAGACTCTAGTCAACCCACTGCCCATTCTCAAAATGCCAACACACGGCGCACAAAGAATGTCTGTGATTAGGGGACAAGATCAATACAATTGTTTTCATAAAACAAACCCGGATTTATTTAAACGAAAACACTGGACAACATTTTTCGTAACACGAACTTCATTGAACGTGTCGAGTAAATAGACACGGCGTGTCACCCCTGGGTGACAGTGTCATGATCCTAGCGGCCGCACTTGAAGTTCAAGTGTCAATCCTCGTGTCAAAGTAAGCCTAAAGTAGACAAAAATATTTGACTTATACGGAACTAACATACCTCAGCTGCCGACAGTGAGATCAACAGTTCTTCAGCCTGCTCCACTCCATCGTCCCCTCGAATTACATTCAGAAGGCGCCGACTACCGGGCTGATGGGCCCAAACCGTACGGGTTACAAGCAGAAAACACACACAGCATACAATAGTAATTTTAAGAAGTGAAAATGTCCTCCACATTTTCGGGCAAACCATCTTATAAAAATAGTTTGTTTTTTGTCACGCGGTGGCAGTAATTCGTAGATTTGCTGGCACTCCTGTGCGAACTGAGCGGTAACTTCGATCAGACTTCGTTCTATTTCTTTACATTGTAATGCCGCCTTGTATAAGAATCACATTGGCAGCACAGTATTACGTATTCGCGTGCCTCCGTACAAATTACACTATGCTGGCGTCAGGCAACCGTCGATTACTAAGGAGTTCTTGTTGTTATCAGCAACCTGAGGCAAACTGCCGTCCCCCGCAACTTGTCCGAAGTTGTATAGATAGTTTCAAGTGACTCGACTGTCGTCTCGTATGTCCAAAGCCTCTAGGATCCGTTGGTGAAATGTTCACAATTTAGCCACGAATAAGTCGTCAACGACAGCGTCACCTGTAATAAAGAAAGTTAGGATCAATTAATACGCTGGGCTCACTGAAAACAAGCGTGGCGTGTTGATATGGCATGGTATTCCTTCAAGGTATGGCATCACGGGTGGCAGAAAGACTAAAAGAGACATAAATGACACCTAAAATTCTGATATTAAAGAAAACTGACACCCGCTCATCGACCTGATGGATAACATGAAATCCTTACCGCAATCGGGGGCATTAATGTGAAAAAAATCTTCGTTTTGCGTGTGCCCCTTGTGGACCCTATTTCACGCTGGCACCGCTTCGAAATCGTGAAGTGTACATAGGTGGCCCCAGTAATGCGTGGACAAAGCGTAGTGTGGCTGTGTTGACAACACAGTACTCATACGGGAGAAAAGCTTGGCGAATCGAACCGACCATGATATACGAGTAGTAGGGGCATTACCATGACAAAGACACACGGGACAAAAATTAACTTCTTAGCAAAACACACCAAGCTTTACAAAATAAAGGGAGCAAAATCTCTGTTTTCACTCTCTCGCCAGAACTTCAGATTGGCTTTGAATCTCAGTACCACTCTACCGTGAACACATATTGTCAGCGACACCCTCGGCAACGGCAATAAATGTGAGTGACGTGTCCGATAGCGACACGCTCGACTGGAAAAGGTAAAACAATAACCACCACTTGAGTGTCGTCGTGTTATTACACGGATAGGCTGAAAGTTCCAGAAAGAAATCAAGAATACAGAAACGCTAATTCACCGCAAATGTCACATAGAATCCCGTATCCCAAGCGTCGTCATCGTGGTGGCCAGCGGTTTATAAACATAGTTTTAGTACTTTGTATGAAGCTACGTTAAACGAATAGAAAAGATCGGGCATAAAGAGAGAGGGTGGGTGAGTCAGCAAAGGTATGTAGACAATACCTATAGTGAAGTAGGTGCAAAGCTTTAATATAGACAATCCTTGGAAAATTAACACACTTGGTGGGTAGACCAGCTAAAGAACATTTACAACTCTGACCGTGTTCGTTTGTCTCTGTCTTTATGTATAGAAATGCTGCCAGTGAGTGCGAGCAAGCAGGCAAGCAGCATGACTATTATTCGTATAATTACGGTATGTGCGTCACACCAGAGTTATGTCCTAGCCACAGGCAATCCCAAACCATCCTACGCAAAGACATGAATAAAAACAAGATCACGGTGATCTAAGAGCGTTTTAGCTTCCGCCATAGGTGGCGCAAGTCGCCGTGTTTGCGGACCCCAGGTGTGCCGGACTTCAACTCAGACACAAGACAAATAGAAAACATGGAGTGCAAACTCTGGCGAAGTATTGCACCCCGATAATCTTCAGCTTTTGTGTTTTATTCGCACCAATATGGCACATTTTAAAGCCTGCCAGAATTATCCGGTTCTTACAAAGTACTTTCTGTACTTTGTATTTTAAGAAAAGAAAAAAACAACAAGTGGTCTAGTATTTATGATCGTTGGTTCAGTCAATGAAATTTATGTCCACACCGAACGGCTTTCGAGTATAGACGACTCGATGGTAATATAATTCAAGCGGAAGAACGTGTATGGTGTATAAGTTTGGACAAGAGGGACCGTTGTTTGTTTTGCTTTGCACTAATAGAAGTATGCAGCGAAATAAAGTGACCAATAAGTGACGGAAAGATCGCCTCAAAGTTAAACAAAGGCCAATGAAACCGACATTGATGAAGTTGTTAGTTTCAATAAACCACGGTTCATTTCACACACAATACGGGATGCTTAATAAACAACTTTACCTTGACGATTCGCAGTGCAAGCGGAGCGCGTTTTAGAAGTACTAGTATATTTCAATTCATTACACTGTTGATATCTACCACAAAAAATACCTCTGAATTAAAATGTGACCTTTTTCAACATTGTGATATGTTGTGGAATAAATTGTACGAGTTACGTAAGTGGAAAGTGATTCGATCTTACAATATTCGAGCATGCTGTCATTTATTCCCACGGAAGAAATTACAATACTTAGATGTGAAACTTTCCCTCCACGTAAGTAAAAGTTCACATTGGTACAACTACGGCATTTTTACTCGGTGTAAGCCACTCCGCATGGAAAACATTGACGAATACAGCGTAACTAATGTACTAAAGGCGACGGGGAAAAGTAACTATCGCCCTACTATTTGTATTGCACGTTGATGCTAGAGGTGTACATTCTATTGACTTAAAAAAAGTAATGAGCAAAAAGCTCAGAAAACCTGTTAAAAGTAAGCATGTCAGTGAGTTGCCGGCCATGCGTGTGTCTTCACCCGAGAAAGTCTCCGCCGTTCACTTGAGGTTGTTTCAAGATATCCGCTTAGTAACATTCTTTACAATCAACAAACAGTAAATGCGGCTACGATTGTCGGTACCTTCGCGAATTGAGTAATTTCTGTGGGTGGTCGATATTTTCTATTGCCACCGCGCTGTGGTGTATGACAATGAACTACGATAACGAGTAATTGCATGGAAACGATTATTATGTAGATCGGCCTAAAAAAACTTGCGAGTTCAGATAACGTTTGTTGATAACAGCACACTAAAATTGAAAAATCCAGTAACCCGGTGAGATTTAACTAATGACACATGATAATACACTGAAGCGAAAGTAAATAGTACTTTATTTTGCCACTCTTTAAAAATTAATTGATTCTTTATTCAGGTTTCAGAGTATACTAGTAGTCGACACTTATTCAGACACTGCTATGCTGTTCTATACATTTAGTATTTTGCTTCGTATTCGTCAAAAAACACGACAAGAATAATTATAACATTACAGACAAAATATATATGATAACATAGAAATTACGTGACTAATAACGCAGTGCCAATGACAAGTCTGCGCACCAAAAATTACTCATGTTGAAGACCAACAGTTGTTGCTCTGTGCCATGTTCACACATGGGTCCCATGCGACGTATTCCACGTATGTGAAAGACATTGAAAATCGGTAAAAGATGATAGGACGATTGCCGACAACCCCTCCGTCTCTATATATTGTTTGTTTACGTGCCACTCGAATGCGCTAAAATACGTGAGTTGCAATCGCATTGAAGGACAGTTGTTTCTTGAACGCGGCGATTTGTGACATCACTAGACCGAATAAATTGTGGAATTAGTCACTCAAATATGTCACTTCCGCCTCCACAAAAAAATCAAATCACTTAGACAGTCAACACAGTTAAACACACAAAAAATAATTCAATATTCTGTAATTTGGGGGACAATTTTAACATCGAAATGGATTCGATAAATCAATTATAGCATTTATCGACTTTTTACACTCTTAGAATTAGGCTCAGCATGCAGCCAGGTTGTGTTTAACATTCAAATCAGAGTATAAGTGGATTATTTCTGCATTGCCAGCGATATTTGTGCCTTCCCTCTTATAAGTCAACATTGATAACCGTTAAAATATGACATTGCCTATGACTTACGCATAGACAAATTGACCTTCATTCGTAGATGGCGATACTCAGATAACTAACGAAATATATCAATAATCTGAGTTGTATATATTACAGACAGACAGACGTAAATGTACCATGGAAAAGCAAAACGGGATAATATCTTACTATACAATTCATCATGACACAATACGGTCATACCTGAAGTCATTGAGTATTTCGATATATTTGGCAGAGTGAACGAAATTGGTTTTATAAATCTGGAAATCAAGCTTGCTTATTGTTTTCATAAATATTCAAATAATTAGCGCGACAATGTGATGTCAAAATCATCTGTTTACGATAACGTCTCAATACTCACAGTACATTCAGAACAGGTGGTTCAATCGTCAACGTTCGTACCAGTGTGTGTGGCCTTAAGTTGTCACTACGTGGTACTGGCACACTCCAGGCACACCAGCCTACTTAAATAGTGTCGCTAATGAGTCATAAATCCGGGCGGAAACACTTAACCGCAGTATGGGAGGCGAAATGATACGTTATTTCGTGCCAGTACTCCTATTACAAGTCGAGTTACTGGTGTCTCCCACTTTTAATTGCTCTTAAGTGGCGAGCGTCGGGCAAATCGTTTAAGAGAATTAACATCCATATCATTTGCATATCTCCATTACCGAAGAAATGTCGGCGTTACACGAAACTTGGCAACTAGAAAAAAACACACAGCCGTCCATATAACTAAAGTGAGATCTCCTGATAGTCTATTTGGAAACTTGCATCGTCAATAAGCGACCCCGAGGAACGTACCTGGGACTCAATAGTGCAATAAACAAGCATATATTGCACTCCTTTCTTCTCAATGGACAATAAAGTGGCATGTAATAAACATCTTGTCTGTTTCCCACTGCGTAAAAATGCTAGACTTGAATGGAGTGAATTTTAAAATATGGGACAAAGTCATTAAGATCCGTAACCTTTTCGAAAATACGTACGGAAAAGACTAATATTAAGAGCCAAGGTAAGTTTCTAGATATTTTTTAATAGTAAATATCCCCCATAATACACTGCGCTTGGCAATTCTGAAG